ACTCAAGAGGCTGAGATCTGAGGATCGCAATTCAAAGCCAGCCCAGAGAAGTCCATGAGATGCTTTATCTCCAGTTAGCCACCAGAATGCTAGAAGTGGAGCTGTGACTCAAGTGGTAGAGCTCTAGTCTGGAGTTCAAGCCCAGACCAGCACGGAGAAGAAAAAAAAAAATCCTATCCAAAGCTCCTGCAAAAAGAATGGGACAATTGTACTTACTGTGATGTTTCATACTACCTTAGCTTCACAAGGGATCCACATGCTTTCCTCCAAAACTTATACTTTTGGTTTCTCCAATCTGTCCTGCTTCTCTGAACTCTAGTAAAACTTAGCTGCAAAAATAGATTCATATCCAGTACAATAACTCAATTTTTCTAATTCAGCAAAACCCTGTAATAAGAGCTAGAAAGATCATTTATTTTATATCCAGTTAACCTGGGAGTGCATATACCGCAGTTTTTTAGAAAAAGATTGCTCTTATATCTACAATTACTTTCAGGAGATTTCATATATAAATATGTTATATACATAATGTTATATTAATACATATAAAATGTTGTTATGCTTTTGCTTTAATACCCAAGCCCTCTAGTTTTGCATCTAAGAGAGCAATAGGAATATCAAACCTAATATCAAATCTTCCCAGTTTAAATTTCCCCATTTATATATACATGTGAAAGACATACCAAAATTATGAAATACATATAGAGTTGAAAGAGCAAATGTCAATTGCTCCCTCATACACTTCCTCCTTTCTTGAATAACTGTGTCATATTTTATCAGAGGCTCCATTTTTTCTGAATATTTTGACTTTCTTATGGGAACTGATAGAATTTATGTTTTGGATTGGTGTAGGTGCTATTTATGGGCAGAGTCTCTGTAGATTTGACCCAAAGGCAATTTTTCTCCATTATTTCCTGGATATTTATAGATAAGAAATATGAAGGAGATCAAGAAGCTGAGTGATCACTAATTTTAGGCATGTCTTCCTAGGTTGCAAAGTTCTCCCTATCCAGGTATACGTCATAATCCCTAGGAGGTCATTTACACATTGTAAAGGTTCACTCTGATACTTCCAACCACCATAGCATATTCTGTCTTCATATTTTTTCCTCTTTTGAAGAGGAGAAGAGAGAATAAAAATTACAATGGCAAAGTGGAGCACTGGCAGTTTGTGCCTGTAATCATAGCTACTCTAGAGGCTGAGATTTGAGTATCACAATTCTAAGCCAACCTGAATAGAAAAGTCCATGAAACTCTTATCTTCAAATAACTACAAGAAAAACAGAAGTGGAGCTGTAGCACAATGTCAGAATGCTATCCTTGAGTAAAAAACTCAAGGACAATGCCCAGGCCCTGAATGAGAAAATAAAATAGAAAAAGGGCAAAATTAGAAACCAGACAGGAGAAAATGCTAAGTTCCAACAAATAAATGTGCTGAAACAGTAAGAGGATATTATATTCAAGGGATTGGGGAAGTTGTGACCACTACATCAGTCAGAATGTCTTTAAAGCAAATAAAGAATTAAAAAAAAAAAATAGATTCATAGCAGTCAATATGTCCACACCCTTCCAGAGCCACTGATTCTCACTCTCTGGCAAAAAGTAAGCACCCACTAGACCTTGCCACTAAATTTTTCTGTATCTGGTAAAAACTACATTGGAAAATTGCTTCAAGGAGACAATTACAGATTCTCATAGCATACCCTTAGGGAACAAATTTTCACTGGGAGACTCCTTGTGCCTCATAACTGGTTACAATGCAGACCCCCACCACCACATGCAGAAATGGAGTCAAAAGATCCATGACACCATCCCCACTGTAATGCCCTCGGTACTATAACCTGCAGGTACCTCATTAATTATGAGTCATCCTTGCTGGAGGCCTAGAAACTGACCTGCTATTACTTTAGTTTCAGAACTTATTGGAACTAATCAAGCTATATCCCAGCAATAGGTACAACCTTGGGGGGAAAAAATCTGCTTGAGGGCCCATCTTCCAGTCTGTTGCTTTCCCAAATACTTTGGCATCAACTTCATATTCAACTTATTAAGCTGTTCACAGCCCAAATAGTCCACAAGTCCTAAGAAAAATGATGAGGTTGACTTCTAGAATAACTGAGGCTTCAAATCAGATTTTTTTTTGGTGGGGGGGTCCGGTTGTGGGGCCTGAACTCTGGGCCTGGGCGCTGTCCCTCAGCTCTTCAGCTCAAGGCTAGCACTCTACCACTTGAGCCACAGCGCCACTTCCGGCTTTTTTCTTTTTGCTTATGTGGTGCTGAGGAATTGAACCCAGGGCCTCATGCATGCAAGGCAAGCACTCTACCACTGAGCCACCTTCCCAGCCCCCAAATCAGAGATCTTTATCTAGTTGCTTCTCTTACAGGCACAGGTTTTCTAACTTCTAAGATGCCTAATGTGTGAGTTTGCTTGTGGAAAAGGCCTTCCATATGGTATTGCTTCTTACACATGGCCCACTACCTCCTACATGACTTCATTGATGGGAGTGATCCCTGAGCTGACATCTTACTACTCTCTTATTGTGACAGCCCATGAACACCTTATCTAGGTAGTGCTGTCACTTCTTGCAAACACTACCTCCAAGAATACAAGGAATATTTGCGGTGCACAAGGGCAGAATCTGGAAGATAATTTATGGGAAAAAGATTCAAAGAAAGGTATTACAGTTTTGGATTAGAACTGTTAAGTGCTACACATTTTATCTTTTGTCAGAAGTGGTGCGGATGCCTCAGAAGCACACACCTTCCAGTGTTTAATGTCACCACTGCCACAGTGTTCTCCACTTGCCATTCTTAAACTGCTGGATCAAAGTGAATATCCTTACTGTCTCGTGTATGTGTGTGTGTGTGTGTGTGTGTGTCTGTGTGTGTCTGTGTGTGTGTGTCTGTGTGTGTCTATGTGTCCCTGTATCCTGAGCTTGAACTCAGGGCCTAAATGCTGTCCCTGACCTTTTTTTGCTCAAGACTAGCACTCTAGCCACAGCTCCATTTCTGGCTTTTTGGTAGTTTATTGGAGATAAAAAGGGTCTAAATGGACTTTCCTGCCCTGGCTAGCTTTGAACCATGACCCTAAGATCTCAGCCTAGAATTATAGGCATGAGCACTGGCACCAGGTTTCTGTCCTTTGTAATCCATCTCCCCCCACTTTTTGGGGGGTTCGTTCTTTCTTATGCCTCCAGTACCCCACACATCCTGTTAACCAGTTCACTTCAAAAATAAGTCATCACAGAAAGAATTTCATTAACTTCAGCAAGCCAAGCTCCAGGCTGTTGACCAGCACTGGACCATAAGAAAGATCATTCAATTGGAAAATACCCTGTCTGGATCCATAACAGGAACTGTTCATGATGTTTTCAGGATACTTTGAAGGCACAGGTTACCATGTAAGTGGTTTTCCAAATGTTTTCCTTTATGTAAACATTTTCCACCACAATCTATCCAGCTCCAGGAGATACTACATTCTTTGCCCCAAAGTCTGCCCTGGTAATCCCAGCAGGTAATTAGAACATGTCAAATGAGAAACTCAAAATGATAAACAGGCAGTACAAAAGAACATTTATGCCCTCAAGCATTCTTCCCAAGCAATGTTTCCAAGCAACTAGAAATCCCTCTCCTCACAGATGAACAAACAGAAACTGAAACAATGGTGGCACCTAGAATAAAGTGGAGTAACTGCCAGCACAAGTTTCACTTTGTAGTAAGCCCCCTGCTTTCTACCACACTTCAGTGAATAATCCAAAGCAAGGTCTTAATTTAAACTTTGGCCTACCATTCCAATCTACCTATAACACTGGCATACTATGTTGCAGTAATTATATAAATTGGTAAGTTGACATCTCTGTGATGTTCTCTTATGGCCCTCAAGAGACCCCTAAAGTTTTAAGATTCCTGGAGCATTGATCATTTCCTCTCTTCACCATCACCTTCAACAAATGCAACAGAACAGATCTGAATAAGGTAATTATAAATTTTAATTTAAAGTTAAAATAACAATCAGCAAAAACTACTTGAAATTAAATGTATTAACATTTGTAACAATTATCATACACTCTCTACACTGTACTGTAGATCCTGAGTGACCAAAAGAAATCATGACACCTGGTGTCAGTGGCTCCTACCTGTAATCCTAGCTACTCAGGAGGCTGAGATCTGAAGAACGTAGTTGGAAATCAGCACAGGCAGAAAAATTCATGAGATTCTTTATCTCCAATTATCCACCAAAAAGTCAGAAGTGGAGCTGTGACTCAAGTGGTAGAGAGCCAGCCTTGGGCAAAAAAGCTAAGGTACAGTAACCAGACCCTGAGTTCAAACCCCACTACCAACACCAAATTAATAATTAGACATTATAGCCCTTATGAGGTTTTTAGATTGGTCATGAAACCTAATGTTATTTAAGTTTTTAAAACCTAACATACCAAGAACCTCAAAAGAGCTTTGAAGTTTATAACAAGTTGATATACTTACTTATTAGCTTAAGAGAATATAGTTTTTCAGTAGTCTTAAAAAACAGAATCCTAGTATTTGTATTACCTTCCATTAGAACAGCAGTGGTTTCTCAATTATCCATTAAAGGAAAGCAATAAAAATGTGAAAAATCTGTGAAATTGTAAAGCAGAAAATTAAACATTTTAAACCTTAATGTGTGTGTGTGACCAGGGCCATCTACTGGTTCAAGTGTAATATTACAAAGCCCAAAGTTTGGACTATAAACAAAATCAAGTCCTACCTATTTCAAAGAAAATATAAAGAAGGGAATGAAGATGAGCAAAAATCTAATCCAAGATACCAGCATTTGGGGCTGGGAAGGTGGCTCAGTGGTAGAGCGCTTGCCTTGCATGCCTGAGGCCCTGGGTTCGATTCCTCAGCACCACATAAAGAAAAAAGCTGGAAGTGGCACTGTGGCTCAAGTGGTAGAGTGTTGGCCTTGAGCTGAAGAGCTGAGGGACAGCACGCAGGCCCAGAGTTCAGGCCCCATGACCGAACCCAAAAAAAAACAAAAAAAAAGATACCAGCATTTGCAGATACAATGGGGGGAAAAAAAACCTTTTATACCAGGAGACTCAATATAACAAAGTATGACCAGGATGCAGGCATGGGTCAGAAATAAAACGTCTGCCTAGCAAGCACAATGTCCTCAGCTGAAACCCCAAGACTGCTAACCCTAAAACCTGAGGTTGGAGGCCTCCAATCCCTACTCAAAGTAAGGAATCACTATTAATTAGCCTAAGAGACAGATGCCATGCGAGGTAGTTTGAACAAATAACCTAAGTATGATTTAGGAGTAGGAATCAGAAAAGTTGTCTTTTCACCATCTTTCCCTGAAGACACTTTAGATACACAGATGCAAAAAGAAGAGTGGCTAATGACATAAACAAGTGGAGACAGGGTAGGCACCTGACAGGCTCAAAAAGCTCTTTTCATAATGACATACTTTGTGATCATCTAACAGTTTAGAAAACAAACCACAAGGTGTAACTTTTTTATGAGAGAGAGAGAGAGAGAGAGAGGCCTTTCTAGGTCCCGTGAGCTTTTACCAGCCGAGACCTAGACTGGTCCAGTCTTGGGAATAAAAGCCCTGTTTCAGGACCCAGCTTCCTCCCTTCAAAAGGGCATGCATGTCCATAGAACCGGGGCAGAAAACAGAGTTCTCCAAGGCCCCTCTCGGTGGCAGAGACTCCCAACCTAGACAGCAGTTTGTCAGCTAAGTGCGGGGTCACCGGTTGAAGCAAAGTTCCGAAGACTCGCAAACATTCCAGGGCCACGTGAAGCACGGTGCCCAGCCAGGGAGCATCCGCCGGGCTTTCCCAGTTCAGTGTCCACGGCGCATGCCTTTGGACAAACCCATTCGTTTGCCGAACACAGGCGGATACCTGCTCCAGCGCTTTATAGATCTGAAAGTGATCATAGTGGTGAGCAACCTGCTGGGGCAAGGCGGCCACTGCGTTTACCAGCGCATAGTCGTCGGCCCGAGCACGCGCCGAGGGCCCGGCCAGGCCCGGCTCACTGGGGAAGCAGGCAGGGCAGAAGGCTGGGTAAGTCCCAGAAGGGTTGATCCGGCTGGCAGTGCATCGGTTCAAAAGCCCTCCCAAGGCATCTGCCAGCTCCGAGTCCAGCAACTTGACCACCTTTTCATCGTAGTAGTCGCAGTCCCAGTTGGGAACTCCCTGCCGAAGGAGGAAGTAGCGGAAGCCGTCCACCGTGTAGCGCTCCAGGCAAGTCCTGGGATCCACCACGTTGCCCAGGCTCTTGGACATCTTCTGGCCACACACCGTCCAGTGGGAATGGACGTAGATGCGGTGCGGTGGGCTCAGCCCGGCCCCTAAGAGGAGGGCAGGCCAGTAGATGGCGTGAAACTTGAGGATGTCCTTGCCGATGATGTGCGACGTCGCGGGCCACCAAGACTGGAACTCGGCGTCTGGGTAGCCGATGGCGGTGAGGTAGTTGACCAGGGCGTCCAGCCACACGTAGATGGTCTGGGAGTCGTCCCCGGGAACCGGGATGCCCCAGTGCAGGTGGCGGCGGCTGCGCGAGACGGATAGGTCGGGCAGCTCCTCCTCCAGCCACTGGAGCACGGCTCGGCGGAAGGGCTCCGGGGCGATGGCGTGCGGGTCGCCGCGCAGCCACTGCCGGAGCGGCTCCCGGAACTGGGAGAGCCGGAAAATGTAGTTTTCTTCCTTGGTCCAGGAGACCGGATGCCCGCTCTCGACGGACACGGGCACCGGCTCCCCCGACGGGCCCGGCTGCCGGGTGACCTTGGCCTCGGGCAGGAAGCACTCGTCGGAGGCGCAGTACCAGCCTTCGTAGAGGCCCTTGCGGAGCAGCCCCCGGGACCGCAGCTCCCCCCAGAAGTGGCGCACGGCCGCGCGGTGCCGGGGCTCGGTGGTGCGGAGGAAGCCGGTGGAGGACACGCCGGCCGCGCCGAACAGCTGCCGGAACTGCGCCGACACCCGGTCGCACAGCTCGAGCGGGGCCAGGCCCGCGGCCGCGGCCGCCTGCTGGATCTTGAGGCCGTGCTCGTCGGTGCCGGTGGAGAGGCGCACGGCGGCGGCGCCCGGGCCCAGCAGGCGGCGGCGGCGGCTCAGGGCGTCCGCCAGCAGCGCCGAGTACAGGTGCCCGATGTGCGGCGCCGCGTTCACGTAGAAGATGGGGGTGGTGAAGTGGGCGCGCGCGCCGCGAGCGGCGTCCGGGCCGCGCGGGGCGCGCGAGCCGTACCGGCGCGCCCGGTCCTCCGGGACGGCGGCCCTGCGGACCCCCGGGCGCCCCCACAGCCGGAGGACCGACACCCGCCGCATCTCGAACGCCGGCCGGCCGGAGGCGGTCACGGCCGCCGGCAGGACGCACGCGTACCGGCTGGGTGATGCGCATGCGCAGCTTCCGACCGGAAGCCGCAGGAACCCCGCGGAGAGCATCGGGCGCCGCCTCCCTCCGTCTCCACCCCTCCCGCCCTCGGCCCCGCCACCGCAGTTCCCGCCCGCCTGCAGTGATCTGGAGTGCGCGCACGCGCCGGTCCCGGAGTTCAGAGCTCAGAACTTGGGCATTGTGTGTGCGTGCGTGTGTGTGTGTGCGCGTGTGTGTGCGCGCGTGTGCGCGTGTGTGTGTGCGCGTGTGCGTGTGTGCGCGCGCGCGTCGGTCCTGGGGCTCGAACTCAGCGCCTGGGCGCTGCCCTTGAGCTTTTTGCGCTCACTTTCGACTTCTGTGATTCCTTGGGGACTCGAGTCTCACGAGCAGCGCCCAGGCTGGCTTCAGCAGATCCTCCTATCTCAGCCTCCTGAATAGCTAAGATTGCAGGCGTGAGCACCGGCGCCCACCCTCGGGTGTCCGGATGTGTACTTCTTAAATACCCGTGAAGGCGGGGAATGTGGGGCGTGGCAGCGCGCCCGGGGCTCACGCCGGTCACCCTAGCTGCTCCAGAGGCTGGGATCTGAGCATCTCAGTTGGAAGTCAGCCCAAGGAGGAGAATCCCTGATATTCTTATCTACAATAACCTACCCAAAAAGCTGGAAGTAGAGCTGTGGCGCCACTGGCAGAGCACTAGCCTCGAGAAAAAAATAAAAGCTCGGGGACAGCTCCTAAACTCTGAGTTCAAGCCCCAAGACCAACACAATAACAACAAAAACATACGCATTGCACTGATAAGCTTATAGCTGGACTGAAACCCCTTTGTACAACTACTAGTACTACTACTGTTAATAAAGTACGTCTTGATCAAGTTTCTCCTTTGCATCAGAGTGAAAAAGGCAATGTTAGAAAGACAAAGTTGGTTCTACTCTATGGCAAAAAGAGAAAGCCAGGATTCTGAAGATACCTGCTTAGAAAATGGTTGCAGCAGTATCAAGAGATTTGTAATGAATGAAATTGATGTCATCAGTTTAGGGTTGTATGAAGAACGTCTCCTAGGAATGGCAGCATGATGCCATAGCAACTGATGGAATGAGTCTGGAGCAACTGCCATTATATGTGTTATTTGTGAGCTATGTGCTTGGTATAACATCATATTAAATGCTTGCGATACTCTGACAAGGTATCTACCAATTTTCCGACTTTATAGATAAGATGAACTCTTATATAGTGTTTTAATGTGTGCCAGCAACATAAAAACTTCAGGTATATTATTTAATCCTTATAGAGAAAAGGACCTTATATACATATACATGTATTAAAATGTCATACTGTAACCTTTTGAAATGTTAGTTTAAAAAAAGAAATATACAGCTGGACACCATTGGCTCACCCCTGTAAACCTACTCAGAAGGTTGTTCAAAACCATCCCAGGCAGGAAAGTACATGAGACATTTATCTCCAGTTACCAGTTAAAAACTGTAAGTGGAGCTGTGGCTGAAGTAGTAGAGCATTAAAGGAAAAAGGCCATGGTCCAGGCTTGAGTTCAAACCCCAGTACGAGAAAGAGGAAGGAAAGAAAGAAGGAGGGAGGGAGAAGGAAGGAAGGAAGGAAGGGAGGGAGGGAGGGAGGGAGGGAGGGAGGAAGGAAAGAAAAAAGGAAGGAAGGAAAAGAGAAATACAATATTGAAGAAATGTAAATTATCCTTCAGAACAAGATGGAGGTTGAAAATATTTGAATAAATATTTGAAAAAAAGTGTATAAAAATACACATTTAAGATGGGGCACAGTCAAAACTCATAGAATTCACAAACTTTATAGACCATGATAATGACAATTTGCCTTGTGAAGGTTAAAATGTGTTTGTGACTTTAAGTATCACTATTCCACAATACTATGAAATATGAGAAATTTATGTAATCACATAATCTCAATTTTTTTAAAAAAAGGAAAAAATGAGAGAAGGGATAGGTTAGGAGCAATGGGGGACAATGTTGTCAGACACCTTGTATTCATATACTGTTTTGTAGAATGGGAATTTCTTTGTACAACTACTTGAAGATAATAATAATAATAATAAAGAATAATCAGATAAGATTCTAACATGCAAAAAAAAAAGAAATGTACTCATTACCTTATTTATGTAACTGTAACCTCCTCCCACTCATCACCTTTACAAAAATATAATGTATATGTTATGGCATTAAGAAAACTGAGGGAAGAATGATGAAAGGGGTGACATCAATCAAGATGCATTATATTCATTTTAAAAAGATGGGGCACAATAGGATAACCACTTTATGGCTAACCACAGGTTTATATAAGTAATACAAGTAACGTAAGTGAATTATTTAGTCATCAGGATTCACTTCTCTGATTATTACATTCTAAATGATGTTCTTATATGTAAATTACTGGTCCCTTTATACAATCTAAGTATTTATAAAACAAACCAAAGTGGGAGAAAAAGTCAATGTCACAAAAATCACAGTAAAATCTTAAAAATATATGGGAAAATATCATGATGAAACCTCTTTGTGCAATTAAGTATATGCTACTTTACAAAAGGAAATAAAAGCAAATTTAAAAAGAACTTTAGCCAGGCACCAGTGTTCATGCCTATAAGCCTTGCTACTCAGGAGGCGGAAATCAGGATTACAGTTCCATGCCATCCTGGACAACATAGTCCCTGAAAATCTTATCTCCAATTAACTAGCAAAAAACCACAAGCTCAAGTGGTAGAGTATTAGCCTTGCACAAAAAAAAAGGAAGAAAGGGAGGGTAGGAGGGAAGGAGGGAGGGAGGGAGTAAGGAAAGGAAGGAACTTGAAAGTAGCCCAAATTAGGTAATGAGTACATTTCTTCTTGAACTCTGTCACCTCTTCGCTCACTCTCTGTTTTTCCCTCCCAATCCCCTCCCCCACAAGTTGTATAGTTCATTTTTGCAGTGAAATGCCATACACAGTTAGCCCATGATATCCATGAGGATTCAGACTGTCTACCCATACCAAACTCCACAGTGCTCAGGTCCCTCTTGTAGAATGATGCAGAGTTGCTTATGACTACATTGTCCTCCCACTAACTCACCTCCAGATTACTTTTGACACCTAATATTATAAGGTAGTAGATATAAGTGCTACGTAAATAGTTATTAAACTGTATTGCTTAGGAAATAATGACAAGAAGAAACAGCTTCATATGTTCAGTACAGACATAACTTTTTATGGGGTGGGGGAGTTTCTTTGTTTTGTTTTTTTGTGCAGGTCCTGGGGCTTGAGCTCAGGCCTGGCCACTGTCCTTGAGCTCTTTTTTTTTGCTCAAAGCTAATACTCTACCACACTTGAGCCACAGCTTCACTTCTGGCTTTTTGCTGGTTAACTGGAGATAAGTCTCATGGCCTTTCCTGCCCACGATCCTCAGGTCTGTCTCCTGAGTAGCTAGAATTACAGCATGAGCCACTGGCACCTGACAACTCCTTTTATTATCTTCAATCCAAAGTTAATTGAACCTGTATGTGTGGAAACGGCAGTTACAGAGACACAACACTAATTGTTAAAATAGCAGGAAGGTTTACCTGACATATTTGTTAATGAAAATGTGATTTTCTATATCTAAAATACATGATAATATATATGATAACATCTACAGAGCTCAAAATGTTTACACACAAGCTGACTAAAGGAGCGTATATTTAGAGAAGGAGACAAAGGCAAAAACTAAAGCACTATTTATCAAAACAAATATCAGTTCAGATGATTGCAGAACCTGGAAAAGCTGTTGCTGCTGTTGATGCATAACATACTGCTCTTATTGATAGATAGATAGATAGATAGATAGATAGATAGATAGATAGATAGATAGATAGATATACAGATATGTGTATATATAATTTAAATTTTTGGAAACTTTAGCTGTGCTCTCAACTTTGGACAAAGTATCCCAGTTTACCATGTTGAGTTGGCATGGTACAGAAATTAATAGCCATACTGGTCTAGAAACATTAAACTTAATTTTTTCCATTTGTACAGGGATAAACACACTGTATTAAATATGTAAGATCTTATCTACGTGGGTTTGATTACAGAAACTAATAAAGTATTCTCTAAATAATGAAAAAAGTAAACGAATGCCAGGAAATGGAAACTTGCTTTGTTTGGGAAAGGGTCAAAGGGGGCATAGGAATGGAGGGAGTGGTTGCATTCTATGTATAATGTGTAAAATGGAACTATGTAACTCGTGGGTAGGGACCAGAGAGAGAGAATGAAGAAGGAAGAAAGGGGTGACATTGTCAAGAAGCATCGTACTTGTAACCTGACTTACAGAATTGCAACTCCTATGTACAGCTACTTAATAATAACAATTAAAAGAAAGAATACGCACTCTTAAAATACCATTAAAGAGCCAGGCACTGGTGGCTCATGCCTGGAATCCTAGCTACTTAGGAGGCTGAAATCTGAGGATCATGGTTCAGAGCCAGCCCAAGCAGAAAAGTCCATGAGACTCTTATCCCCAATCGGCTACTCAGAAAAAGCCCTAAGTGGCACTGTGGCTCAAGTGGTAGAGCGCTAGCTTTGAACACAAAGAGGCTCAGAGACAGTGCCCAGGCCCTGAGTTAAGCCCCAGGACTGGCAAAAATAAAATAAAATACCATTAAAGGTCAAATAAAATTTTATTTTGTTGTAATTTTGAAAAAAAAAAAAAAAGGCCTAGTATTTGTTCTGAGGTGAACTTAAGAAACTGCAGTCCACTTTACTGAAAATAAAAGAAATTCACAGTATCATATCCAGTCAGTCAGACATCAACTTGTTTGTTTTCCGTTCATGGAGATCAAACTGAGGGCCTTCATGCTAGGCATAATTGGTGGGCATTCCCAGGTTGGGGGGCGGGGGGTTAGTGGGACCTAGAATTTGACCCTTGCCTCTTGCCCTTTTTTTTCTTCTGATAGGACTCACATAATGTGGGGCTAGCCTCAGATAGCAATCCACCTACTTATACCTCCCCCAATAACTAGAATTGCAGGTGCTCATCATCACATCTAAAATACTTGAGATGGGGTCTTGCTACCATTTTTGCTGGGGCTGGCCTCATCTGCCACTGTTTTAATTTCTGCCTCCTAAGTTGCCAGGATTACCTTCCTGACCAGCCTTCATTCTCCATGCTAGAGTTCAGTCTTAGTTAGGAGCCAGTGGCCCATGTGTATAATTCTAGCTGCTCAGAAGATTGAGATCTAAGAACAGAACCAACCTGGGCAGACAAATTCTCAAGACTCAACTAGTAGACTACTTGCTTATCAAGTGTCAAGCTCTGAGTTCAAATCCCAGGACTGAAAACAAAACAAAAAAAGAATGTATTTTCACCAAAATCGCCTCCAGTCCCATAAGACAAATGTAAATTAGTATTCTTAGTCTACTTCAACCTTCATTTAATTATTTGATTCCTTTTTGTTGCCTACAAGATAAAATCTAAATTCTCTCTGTATGGCATACAACCCTTCAGCAGCTTAGTCTCTTTTCACACTTCATGTTCTAGCAGTTCTCAGCTGCCTCCTGTTGGGATGTTTCATGATTCCTCACTTCCTTTCATCTATATTAGGCATGTTCATCCTGAAAGCAACTCACAGGTCATTATCAGTGCAAGACAAGCCTCTGCAGTCATGTCCTATGTGTACTTCCACCACAGCAGCAACCAGCTCACACTAGAATCCTCCAAGTCCGTCTTCCCCATTTCAGAAGAAGCGCCTTTAAGGCAAAAGCAAGGGTTAGTCATCTTCTATATTCAGCACCCAGTGTCTGGAATATGATAGTAGGCACCTGATAAATATGAGTACTTCACAAAGAATCTTCCAGTCACTGTACTAGAGCCTAGTGACTATCAAAGGTTTCGGTTCTGCTGTACAAAAGAATTCTACAAAAGAATTCATGAAAAATGACAGGTCTGAAAGCATAAATAGTCCAATAAACCACGGTGTCCCCATATACTGCCTCTTTACCCAAATTTGCTCAGACTTTGCCTCCCATGACCATGCTGATGGTTGGACACACTATGGACAACCGTGGAATTGCCCTCTAGCAAGAGCACTTCAGAGAAGGAAGGCATGGAAAGGGAAGCAGGAAGAAGAAAGCCGTAAAGCTTAGAATAATCTGCAAACTAATGCAGCACCCTCCTTGAGAGTTTTCATGTGCACACTTCAATGAGATTAAGAAATCTTCTCAGACTAGAATTCTCCACATCTCAAATGTGATCAGGGTTTAGTGTGTAAATAATGGGAGTAGTACTGCCGCACTGATTTCTAACATACACTCATTAATAAATATATTTTGTGCTATTCACCAGATATAGTGTTCAGATAAGAGATTAGACTGTCTCACTCAGCCTTCCTAAAAGCCTGCCTGGGAAGTACTACTATTAACTCTACTCTAGAGGAGAGGAAATTGAAACTTGAAGAGGCCAAGTCACTTTTCCAGGAACATCTCTGTAGTAGGCCTAAGAAGCAGGATTTGAATCCAGGCAGTGTCATTCCAAGTGCCATCCACACTGCAATCAAAAGTGCTCTTGACTTCAGGTCAATGGCAGTTTATGACTGAATGAGTCCAGTTGTCAAAGTGAGTTTGGTTTGGTTTGATTTTAATGAAGGGTTCTTGGAACTTAGAGTTTAACAAAATGAATGCCAGGAAGCTGAAACATGTTCAGGAGTGAAGGAGGTCAAAGGGATGGGAGACAGACAAATGGAGACAGGTGTGGTGGGTGAATGTCATCATAACATTCAATGCACAAATGTGAAAATAGAACTGGGTAACTTGAGGGGATGGGTGGGGTTGGTAGGGATGTGGGGCAACAGCATTGTACTCATAAACTGATTTGTTGAATGGTAACCATTTTGTACTTAAAGAAAGTAATTTTTAAAAGAACAAGAAAGGCAGGCACTGGTGGCTCACACCTGTAATCCTAGTTACTCTGGAGGCTGAGATCTGAGGATCGAGGTTCAAAGCCAGCTGAGGCAAGAAAATCCGTGAGACTGTTATCAACAGTTAACCACCAGAAAACCAGAAGTGGCCCTAGCGCTCAAGTGGTAAGAGTGCTAGCCTTGAGCTGAAGATCTGAGGGACAGCACCCAGGCCCAGAGTTCAAGCCCCACGACCAAAAAAAATAAAAGATACTTGGAGATCTGTAGAAATATTGCATTATCATCTTAAGTATGTTAAACTGTTTTAAACTAAGAAAAACTAATTATCCATATAACTCTCTTTTGTGAGTAAAAATCTTTTAATTAACATTAATTAATATTAATATATTAATTTACAAAACAATGGTGTCATTGTGACATTTTCGTATGTAACATAGTTTGATAATATTCCCTCAACCATTCCATTACCCTCTTTTTCCTCCAAGTAGTGTTTTTATGAAAGTACTTTAATATAAATTTTTAATACTTGGTGGTTTTAATCACCATAAGATCTTTTTCCAGGAAAAAAAAAATTACTCCACATAGAATGAAATTTTCCAAGTGTTACCTAAAAGACTCAAGAGCTTTTTTGCACTTTGCTTCTCTTCTTTTAGATTCCAGAAACAGTTTCTTCAAAAAGCCAATTTCCTTTCTGGAAAAGATTTTTGTTTCCAACCATGCTGAGAATCCCCTTTTTAATTCTCCCTCCTCTCCTTCCCCCGCTTCCCCACTCTCTAAAGGAAGAAGGAAAAGAAGGGTGAGCACAGGACAGAGAAAAGGGGGGGAACAGAAAAAAAATTACATGCCACTGTTATCTGGATATATCTACTGGTATATAATTACATCCAAGTTGCACTTTTGCCTTTTTATTTCCGTTTTGGGACCTCTTTTATCATCTGGCCAACTGGGATAGACAAAGCACAGTTGGTGCCCAGAGCCACGGCACTCTGGTAGGGGGCTGGCTGGCTGTGAATTGACGTGGCATGGAAATTCTCCACTAAGTTGCAGCAGCTTGAATGTTTCTCTGAGATCAAGCCCTGCCCAGATTCTGTAGCTAAATCATGGGCTCAGGGACTTTACACAGAAATGGACAGAAACCATCTTCAGCTCCTTTCTTTGGACTCTGATGTTTTCTGGCTGGGTATTGATGGCTCAGCCGAAAACCCAATCAAAGCAGTGAAGTCTGTAACTTTCTTTTCGCAGCTTAAACAACAGAATTTTCTGCCCTCCCTCTCCTTCCCTGCAGTCTAATTCCTCGCAGACTTTGCTATGGGGTGCGGACTTCGAAAGCTGGAAGACCCTGATGATAGCAGTCCTGGAAAAATATTTTCTACCCTGAAGAGACCACAAGTGGAAACAAAGACGGAATTCGCTTACGAATATGTATTACTGGATTTTACATTACAAGGTACCTTTTGCTTCTCTCTTAGCTGTGAAATCTTCCCAAAATAAGAGACAACTAATAACTAATTTTTTTACTGTTGACTTACAAATTCTTATACTGTTCTTCACAGTCAGATTGTATAATCCCCTCTAATAGTAATGCTTTGTTTCTTAATTTGGATTTTTGCTTTATTGTATTTGCTTTTTTTTCCCTTCTGGATTTTTTTTCTTTCTGTTTTTTGTTGTTGTTGTTGTTGTTTCTCTTTTTGTTTTTCCTTGTATGATGGTTCCTGTGTATTTTACAAAATTAGGGAAACTGCTTGGAAATGTTTCTTTTGTTTTTAAATCAAATGCTTATTTGTGGAAGGGTTTATGGAAAATGACTGATCTGCAGGCCAAATATCTGAAGCCTTAATGACAGCTTGTGTTTTTGAAAGGGGTTTGAAAAGCACGAGAAGGCACCATGTAGGCAGTGTTTCCCAGACCAAATTCGGGAAGATTGTTTGCTGAGACAAATTTGAGGTGACTAACTATGTGGAGTTTTGTGATTGTGTCGCCTACTTGATATTTATGACCCAACTAAAGTTTGAAAATACAGTTTAACGGAAAAAAGAAGAAGGAAAAAAAAGTTGTTTTCTATTACACACTTCCTTTGCTCTGTGCCCTGTCTGGAACAGAGTTTCTCTGTTCCAGAAAGTTAGAAACACAAATAAACAAGCCCAGATGGCAGGTCGGTGGAGAAGACCGTAGCCCACTCCACAGAGACTCTGCCTCTTTTCTTTTCGGAACTTTGAGTACTTTACAACTGCCTGGACAAAAAACATTTTTTTTAAAAGAACTAACTGCATCTCTAATTATGGGATTTATATAAGTTGCATACTGTTAAGCTATCAGACACTAGGATTTTAACTTTTTATGACAAATATATTTTAAATTCTCATAAGTCTAACAGAAAGTTTACACTAACTAAATTACCATGCTGGATATTGTCTTAACTTTTTTTTAGTTAAACACAAATTCATTTTTGTCTCTGTCCCTATCTCTCTGCATTTCTGTCTGTGTCTCTGTCTCTCTGCCTCTCTCTCTCTCTGCCCCTCCCTCCCTCCCTCCCTTCTTCCCTCCCTCCCTCTCCTCTCTCTCTCTCTCTTTCTCCCAAGCTTGCCTGAAACAGTGCATCTTTGTGTAAAAGCAAGGGTAGTCCATTTTTCTTTGTCAAAAATTGAGTTGGCTAGCAAACAAACCCCCAAATCTGTATACACACACACACACACACACACACACACAAACTTTCAACATGTTCACACATACTTTCAACATGTTCACATGTCTATTTTCATCTAAGACTAAGGGTATCCAAAGGAAAACTATATTTTCTTTCCATTTCTTTTCAATTATGTCGGTTGAAATGGATTAAGATAACGGTGCTAATCAGAAAAGTAACCAATAATTCGATTTTTTTCTATACTTTTTAAGAAAGCGGTCATTTGAAAAAATATCTATAATATGGTGGTTTTCATAGTAGTGACTCACTTCTGCTTTTCCTTGTCAGTGTGAACTAGTGTCTATAAAGCCTGGGACACATAAAACATGCTCTCCTGAACCTTAAAACTATTCATAAAATTTGGGTCAGAGACATTTTGATCTGTACTTTATGATGTTCTGCACACCTAAGTTAATAGTTTAAGGAACTTGAGGTTGGTCTGATCCATCTCTTTCTCCCAGTGTCAACATCGTCAATGAATAGGTATAAACGCCATCATCCTTGAATCAAGATCTACAGTTTTATTCAAAAGTAGTTTGGGTTTTCTCATTGTCAGACCCCCTTTTATCTGTAAAAGGAGTATAAGTTTCCACTCCAGGTGTGTGGAGGATGGAACAGTAAATTCTCCTATGAGGTGTAAATACAGGCATATCATGCAAATGTGAACACGTGAAGCAGGCACACGTTTGAAAGTTGCATCTGGTTCCTATTTGGTACAGGCGCCTAGTCTCCTAGTGCCCCATTTCTCTCTAGTTCTTCCACATGGTTTGGCTTGGGGCTTTTGTTTGCCTGTTTTGGTCTATGCCTTTGCCTTTGCTTTAGGAGCCAGGATCTGAGCACCAGCCCAGTTCCAAAGCCCCTTCAAGATTATGCTTTTCTGGCCTCTCTCAACTTGTAGCTCTGATGGCCACCTGCCACTCCCATGTCTACAGGAATGAGTCTGGGTTGGTTTGAACACCCCAACCTTCTGTTTGGCCCTGTGACTCTAGAAGAAGTGTTAGCTCCTGCCACTGGTTTGTCAGAAGCCAGTATGCAGTGAGCAGCCCTGGCAGAAATGAAGTAGCCTGGTGCCAGCTGTGTGCTCACGATGACTGGTGTCTTATGTTACCTCCCTCGGACCTTTCCAAACAGAGACAACAAAACAGAATAAAATGCCAATGGAGGCAAAAAGGGAAACTTTAAGAATTCCCAGCCCCTGTGTTTATGGTGGTTTTAATTATCTTTAACAACTTATTTGCTTTCCATTTAATTCTATCTTTCTTCCTACCCTCCCCAATCACAACTTTTATAAATATATACTTTCGGAGAATGAAATGCGATTTTCATGGTAAGGCAGAGTGTTTCAATGTTATCTACTTTATTACAAATGGATTCACTTGTCACCCTCTTCTACCTTCTGACTCCAAAACTGGGGACAGTTTGGGTCTCTCTCCTCCTTTGAACCCAGATCCTACAGGAAACTTTTTGGCCAACCTGTTGTGGTCATTAGTAATTTCTTCATTTCACCTCTGGAATATGATCATTATTGATTACCTACAGATCTATTTCACAGATTCGACTTTTTTCTTATCCTGGACACAAAACATTCATTCATACAAACATAACTTGACATGTAATCCCTGTGAAGACTGGTTTTTTAGGAATTTTAGAGATGGTATAAGAAATTAAAAACCTAATTCTTTGTTTCTAAAGTACCAGCCATGTAGGCTGAATTTTGCTGGAGATCTTTACCAAGTCTACTATCAGTACCAATGAGGCCTTGTGATGTGATGTATTTTCTGAGTTAGTGTGTAGTAACAATTTCACCCATATTATGATAAGGTAACATTTCATTAAAAGCTTTTGACTTTTAATAAATTGTTAATGAATTAATTTAATGACTAGAGATTTCTTATAGTGTATCTATATGTGTGTGTGCATTTATGAGAGTGTATAATGTGCATATATGGACATTACTATAGAATTATTATAGAAAAAGTTCAATTAACTTTGCAAATGATCCCAAAAAATTAGTATACCTCCTTTTACAGTCCCAGAAAATGATCTGCATAATACTAATCTTAAGGTTTTTTTAGGGCATTTATAGCTTTATGAGTAAAAAAGAGTTTCTACAATATCTACCAGGAAGATGGATGGTAGTTTTCTTTACTTGAATTTTTAATTTAATTACATAAAATACATTGAGTAAAATTTTCTAATTCCTACCTTGCTTCATTATAACTCATAAAAACCATTTGTCTCTCATCATGATCATTAAAAGCAATAAGTACTTATCTATACTGTAGAAGATACTAGTTAGCACTAGGAATAGATAATATATATATACACATATATATATATATATATATATAATTTTTGCTTCATCTGAACAAGTTCATGAACTCCTCAAGGGCAGGAACCATACCTTATCCATGTTCATATTCCCTATGTCTAGTCCAGTTAGGCTGGTGGCAATGGTATAAGGCATATGTTGCAGGAAATATGCTATAGGAAATATCATGAAAAGCAAAAGGAATTTTGGATAGTATCAGTTGGAACTTGAGTTAGGGCTTTAACTGACTCTGGAAGAAAAAGCAGACCTTAGATAGGCATAAGAGGATTAGGAGCTTGAGGCCTGGTCAAGCGCTACTAAATGGAGCAGTGAGCTAAAGGATGAGGTTGGAAATTAAATAGAGTAAGGAAGGGTCTGGCTTGCCTGAAGCGTTAAGATGCAAGTCCATGGAGAAAAAACAGTTGTAAAGGGGCGTTGGTGGTGGTGGTGATGGTGGTGGTGGTCATAGGACTTGAACTCAGTGCTTGGGTGCTATCCCTGAGCCTCTTTACGCTTAAGGCTAGAACAGTGTGTGTGTGTGTGTGTGTGTGTGTGTGTGTGTGTTTTGAACTCTGGGCCTGGGCACTGTCCCTCAGCTATTCAGCTCAAGGAGAGCACTCTACCACTTGAACAACAGTGCCACTTCCAGTTTTCTGGTGGTTTATTGAAGAGTCTTCTGAACTTTCCTGCCAAGGCTATCTTTGAACTGCGATCCTCAGAGCCTCCTGAGTAGCTAGGATTACAAGTGTAAGATACCACTACCCGGTCTCCACTTCTGGTTTTCTGGTGGTTAAATGGAGATCCGAATCTCACAGACTTTCCTGCTTGGGCTGTCTTTGAGCCATGATCCTCAGACCTCAGCCTCCTGAGTAGCTAGGATTACAGGTGTGAGTCAACAGTATCCAGTTGCAAAGGATTTTGAACAAGTAGTTCAAACTTGATAGGTACAGAGATGTATTATAAGAAGATTAATGTGGGATTTCAATGGGAGAGATGGAGGCAAGGAAAAAAGGTAAAAGATTGCTTGTAGTGATCAGGATTTTTTACCCACAGGTCATGGGTAAAAATAAGGATGGAATAGAATAGGTAGATACAAGAGATATCAAGAAAGAGGCACTTATAACTTGCTAGACATGAAGAGCTAGAAAGAATAAAGAATCCAGGCTGACTGCCCAGTTCTGAGCCTGAGCAACTATGGAAATAATGATACCTTATATAGCCAGGGTGCCTCTCAAAGAGTCACTTAAAGGATGATCCGAAAGCAGTCCACTGCAGGCATGGTACATCCGAAGGGGCAGTGGAGCCCATAGCTGCACAGCTGGATGTGGTAAATTTGAGGGGGACCTGGAAATAATATTTTTTTTTTGCAGCACTGGGATTTGAACTCAGGGCTTTATGCTTGTAGACAGGAGCTCTAAAGTTTGCGCCACACACCTCTAGCCCTTTTTGTTTC